GGAAGGCTGAGGCCACGCAGCACCCTTGCTCGTTGTTGGGCAACCAAGGCTCTGGACTATCTGGCGCACACTCTACGCGGTCTTCTGCGAAACGAGTAACATCTGCTACATTGCCCCCGGCTGCTTTACCATCGCGAAGAAGTGAGGCTGCGTCGATGCCACACCTGAGATCAGACAAGCGAGCCAAGACGACGCGCTCGCGCCTGATCCACAAGGCGGCGGCTGACAAGTTTCTGGATGCGCTGAGATTGATGCATGCCTATTGCATGCCATGTACCATTCGCCAGTCTCAAGCCGTCTGGAAAGCTCAACATATCTGTCCCGAATCAGACGACACATGCACCCGGTGCCATCTCGCGGGGCACAGTGCCGATGAGTGCAACATTGATTTTGAATCTGCCACACGAGAATGTTGCGCCAGATGTGGCATGCCATCTAGGATTGGCGGCCACCCCTTGAAGCATCTGCCGGGCTGTGCACTCGATAAAGGCCTTGGACGAGTCTTGAGCTCCATCGTCCTCCTTGCCGACTGTCATCCGCGGCTGCGCCACCTGGCCAAGCGGATGGGATACGACCTTCAGCCCGGGACGCTGCAGACGCGACATTTTCGCGAAAGATTTATCGCATGGCTGTACTCGGAAGACAAGCATCTGCCGGCAGGCCACTGGCACCTTGTGGAGTTTGTGATTGAAAGCGTTGAGATTTTGATCGGGGCAGCCGCGAGGGCTGTGATATGATAACAGAGGTGACAGACTATTTGTTAGGCTTGGATAATGTTGTAATCGAAGTAAAACGATCGCTGATCAAACTATGAAAGAGATTAACATGTAAGCGAGATCACCTTGAGCTGTGTAACAGACCAAGACTTTTACGGGGCCCATTGGCTTTCTACTTCTTGCCGAGTGAGTATGCAAAGCTCAACAAGGCGGTTTTTTGGCCTGAAACAAGCCTCACGAGCATAATACCTGGAACTCGACAGGTGTTTTCAAACTAAGCTGAGCTGCCGCCGTTTCTGAGGAAACGGATGTGTTTACAATGACTTGGCAGGCACCGAATTTTGGGCATAGGCCTACGTCGACGACATTGTGCTCGTGTTTTGGACTGCAAGTATGGACGCATGTCAAGAAGCTACTGATCACCCTGGAAGACACTAGTTCTGGCAATCGTGATCAACCATTGCAGGATGATGCTGATGAATACTGACGACACTCGTCAAGGAACCCTGTCAAACATTGTGATTGTTCCTGCCATTCAAATACAAGTACGGTCCTGTCAATCGGAAGTGGCATTCGTAACAACATGCATTAAAAAAAAAAAAATGGTTGGATTCAATGTACATGTGTTTGGGCTGGGCATGCGCGCGCGCTCCTGGTGGTGCGTTGTCGTCATTGTGGTGCAAGCGACGACAGGGATGAACGGGTGGCCAAATGACATTGCCGCGTGACCGTCATGGATGGACCATTCTTGCTGATCTCGTGTTGGGCTGCCATTTGTTGTCAAGACAATTCCTCGATCTGACCATGAGGTGCCGCGATGGCTCGTGTGCTGATGGACGCGCTAGCGAGGCTGAAGAGCCACGGAGCCTGGTGGGATTCGGCACGAAGCACAGCTGCTCGGAGAAAGGTGAGAAACCCATCTGTGGCCCGCTTCTGAAAATGCTATCCACGATGCCGGCTACCAGAGTCGAGAGCGAGAGTGATTTTGCGGTGTTTCTGTAATGACGCCTTGACCAATGTGGGCGGACTTGCCAGTATCACCGAAATTCGCAGCTACCTGTCCATCACAGTAAATTGCTATATCAGAGAGTGTGACCTGACCTGTGGCACAAGTGCGGACTTTGGCGGCAGAATGTTGTGTGTGTGTGTGTGTGTGTGCGTCTGGCGTGTTGTGTTGGCTTGGTCAATGGAGTTCCAATCTGTCCAGTGTGAGTGGACTTGGAAGCATCACCAGCGTCGCCGGCTACATTCGGATTTGCTCGAATTCTCAACCTAACATATAAACAGCGCCAAGCCCGGTTCAATCGGCGGGTACTTGTCAAGACAACACGACCGAACGATGCAGTGCTTGTTAACTGTTCTGTTGAGGGCCACAGTCTGTTTGTTCTGAATTTGTTCTGAATTTGTTCGCCTTGGTCGAGTCAAACAATGGATCTTGCTTGGCCTTGTGAAAACGACGCGTCATCTTCGATTCAAACAACAGTCATATTCACGCAACTTGATGCCGACAATGGCATTGACAACATCATCGACAAGCTGTATGTCGACGTGGTGGAGGTAGCCGCGTTGTCCGTGCCAGTCGTGGTACCGCAAGCCGGGCATCAGTCTGTTTCGTCAGCTGCGCGTCAGGCACAGACTTGGGCTGAAGAGCGCCGTAGAAAAGCCCGTGGGCAATGATCAGCCCTCTAATTGTGCTACACTTTCCAAGCCACTGGCGCCATGACACAGCTCAAACGATCATTGCAGCGTTGGCCGAGACAGCACGGATCGGAGGCCTTTAGATCTCGAAGGCGGGGCGGCTGCTGCTTTGAGCGGCAAAGAAGCCACGTAATCGCGTCTATCTCGCTCGCCAGCCAGTTGCGTGGTCCAGAAAAGGCTGTGAATTGAACACGAGAACACGCTCACGATGATCGTGCGCTCAGTGCTTCTTTTTGTCTTTTTGTGCTCGCGCAATGGCGGTAATGGCGGCCCAGACTGTCTTGGCTGTTCTTGCAGTGGCGCTGATCACCGATACTTGAGGCGCCTCTAGCGAAGAGGATAAGGTCCTACAAGAGCGAGCACGAGGCCAATGAGGAGAGTGGACAAGGCATGTTAGACTCCCCGCGCTGCGACCAGTCGTTTGGCACTCATAGAGCCGCACCTCACGACATTGATTGACAATGATCCGTGCCTCACTGCTCGGGCTTGCCGACTGCCAAAGGGGTCAAAGACTTCTTACAGTGGTTGTCGGTTGCAGCGACAGGAAGAGCCCATGATTCACTGCTTGTTCCCTTTGGATATGCGCTGCAAAAAAAATAATTTGTCGGCCCGCTTGCCGTCAAAAATGCACATGCTGGCCGTGAGATGAGATTAATATGGCTGGAGGTGTCGAACCGGGTAGCCTACGAGCTTGGAACATTTTCTGGCTGCTATGGCAGACGGATTATAAAGGGACTGCTCACCGGCTGCCGTTTTGGACGTACATAGAGGAATAACATGTAAATGCGTTTTGTAGCGCTTTAGAGTTTGTTCGTACGACCGTTTTGACCTATTTTTAGACATCCTATCGACAAAAAACAAAAAAAAAAGATTGAACATGTCATGCATGTGTTGCATTTTTCGTGTTGCATTTTTCAGCCTCCTCTTCTGCTTTGCCCCTTCTTATCACCTCTCCGACATTGGTATGAATATCGGCATCAGCGGCTGTTTGACGTGTCTTGCTTTGAGTGTGGTGCTTGATCGCTTTGCTTGGTACGGGACTCTCATGGTCGGAGACTCTGTGGCGACGCGAGAGCATATATTATTTGGTTGAAAGCTTCGCTGCCTGCCCTCACTTTTTAGTAAGGCCACTGATCCCGCCTGACAGTCCACAGCGTGTGCTTGGGCAACCAAGTACACGCTGTCCTCGCAACTGTTACCAAAAGAGGTTGGTCTGAGGTGAGTTGCTTGGCGCAGAAAGGTAGGGAGAAGCAAGGCTACGCTGACCGGCTGCCGGTTTGAACGACATTATTGGGATGGTCAGGCGAGTTGGAGGCTCATGAGATCGTTGATGGATAAAGTACACGCAGAAACAAAAAGCGGATGTTGAAAGAGAGAGAGAGAGAGAGAGAGAGAGAGAGAGAGAGAGAGGGAGAGACAGTTACGATGAGTGGTGATGGAGAGGTCAGTTCGATACCTCCTACTACCTCTGTTACCCCTCTATCTTGTACATGATGATGCTGATGATGCCGTGCGTGTACGTAATGCCGATGAATCGTTCCACAGCATGGCTATACACCACTGCACTGGGCGTGCATTGAGGGCGATACCAAGATGATGGAGCTGTTGTTGAAGCACGGTGTTGATACTGAAGCCAAGGACAAGGTCAGTTCGGTCAAACAAACCTCCTACTACCTCTGTTACCCCTCTATCTTGTACATCATGATGCTGATGATGCCGTACGTGTACGTAATGCCGATGAATCGTTCCACAGCATGGCTATACACCACTGCACTGGGCGTGCATTGAGGGCGATACCGAGGTGGCGGGGTTGCTGATGAAGCACGGTGTTGATACTGAAGCCA